TATGTATCAGTCACTGTCCCTGGGTTATTGACAGATCTCAGTAGACAAACTAGAAATACATCCTCTCTAGCCTGTGCTTCTCAGATGTATTTCCTTCTGGTGTTTGGGGTCACTGAGTGCCTTCTTCTGACTTCCATGGCTTGTGACATGTATGTCGCCATTTGCAGCCCACTGCGGTCTCTCTCCTCATGAACAGTAGGCTGTGTGTCCACCTGGCCGCTGGCCGTTGGGTCAGTGGAGTTACTACATGCACAGGATTTACTTACCAGATCTCTCTACCCTTCTGTGTCTCTAACCAGCTGAATCACTTCTTCTGTGATGTACATCCATCCAGTGCTTAGCCTTGCCTGTGGGGACAGTTATATGAATGAGATATTGGTTTATGTGGTTGCTGTTCCAGTTGTCACTATTCCTTTATGTTGATTCTTGGATCTTATGTGAGAATAATTGAGACCATCTTGAAGCTGCCTTCAGCCACTGGGCAAGCCAAGGCCTTCTCCACCTGCTCTTCCCATCTCATGGTTGTGACTTTATTCTTTGGATAAAGTCTCATTACATATTTAAGACCAAAGTCCAGTCATTTGATAGGAAAGGACAAATTTCTCTCTCTTTTTTACACCATTGCCACACCAATGTTTAACCCTATGGCATATTGTCTGAGAAACAAAGATGTTACGGTGGCTTTGAGAAAATTCCTACTAAAATTGGACTGTGATTTAAAAATATTAATTCATAAAATTTGTTTCTTATTCATTACAGTCTCCACTCAATTTCTGTTGTTTTCCTATTAGCTGTGACTTCATATTATAGGTAAATGATCTGTTATTTTTATATCACATAAACTCTGATGTTATTTTAAATAAAAAAATAATCTCAAACTCTATTCAGGGTATTGAAATGTTTGATATAACACATAGCATTCATTAATGGGTCTTGTGAACTGTTGTTGCTTTTTAATTTTGCAGAACGTTGCCTATGTTTTCTCTTTCCAATGAGATTATTCAACTTTCTTTCTCTAGTCCCCATGTGTAGCCTGAAAACTAATAGGCATCAAATTAGCTTTATCAGATGAAAAGACTAAAAGCATGGTATAGCAGGCCTGGTATTGATGGTTCCACTAAAAGATGAGTGTTTGAGAAAAAATTATATTTGAGTTATCATATTCAAGACATGAAATGTTAACTCATTGGCAGTTGTACCTCTGCCGACTGTAGAGAACAGTGGGAAGAAGCAGAGATCATCTGTTGCATTTAATTCGAGAAAGGCTTTCCAAGTTTCCATATATTCTGGTAGGGCATCTTCAGACACTGGTTTCTGGACTTAGTTTTCATATCAGAACATACTACCTGCATGAGAAGAATATAGTTTTTAGGAGAACCATTATTCTGATTGATAAAGGGTGGCAAAGAGAGATTTTCCAGCCATGGCTGACTCGCCGACTTCCTGGATACAAGATCACTCCTGCAGAGATTTCCTTCAACATAACATGCAAAGAAAGCCTTCCCAAATTTGATTCTCTGGTTTTGAACACTTATTCAGGCTCAAAACTCTTATTTTTAACTGGGTGATTTGCTCTGAATATGCCTTTTAACATTCTGTCTATTATTATTTGCTTTGAGATATCCTTGTTTTCCTCACAGAGATGGTGACTGAAGCCATGAAATTCAAAGATGCTTGCTGCTTGGAAAGAAAGCTATGGCAAAAGCATTAAAAAGCAAAGACATCACTCTGCTGATAAAGGTCCATATAGTCAAAGTTATGGTTTTTCCAGTAGTCATGTATGGATGGGAGAGTTGGACCATAAAGAAGGCTAGGTGCTGAAGAACTGATGCCTTCTAATTGTGGTGCTGGAGAAGACTCTTGGCAGTCCTTTGGCATGCAAAGAGAGCAAACCAGTCAATTCTAAAGGAAGTGAATGCTGAATATTCATTGAAAGAACTGATGATGAAGCTGAAGCCACAATACTTTGGCCACCTGATGGGAAGAGACAACTCATTGGAAAAGACCCTGATGCTGGGAGTGATCGAGTTTAGGAGGAGAAGGGGGCAAAAGGGGATGAGATGGTTGGATGGCATCACGGACTCAATGGACTTGAGTTTAGACAAACTCTGGGAGATGGTAAAGGATGGGGAAGCCCAGCATGCTGCAGTTCATGGGTCACAGAGTCAGACACAGCTGAGTGACTGGACAACAGCATAGGATATTAAATACAGCTCCTTGTGTGTATATATACACATGCATGTGCGGGCACATGCTCACACACATACTATGACCTTGCTGGCCATCTATTTTGTAAATAATAGCTTGTATCTGCTAATCCTAAACTCTAAATTTGTCCCCCCTACCCTTTTTTTCCTTTGGTAACTATAAATTTGTTTTCTATGTTTGTGAGTCTCTCTGTTTTGTAAATAAGTTCATTTGTATCATTTTTTAGATTCCATGTATAAATGATATCATACCATATTTGGATATTTGCCTTTCTCTTTCTGACTTGCTTCATTTAATATGATAATCTCTAGGTCAATCCATGTTGCTGTGAATGGTATTATTTTATTCATTTTTGTGGCTAATATTCCATTGTATATATGTACAATATTTTCATCCATTCATCTGTCAACAGACATTAAGATTGCTTTCATGCCTTAGCTATTGTAAATAGTACTACTATGAACATATATTTTCAAATTATAGTTTGATTCAGATAGATACCCAGGATTGTGACCGCTGGATCATATGGTAATTCTATTTTTGATTTTTAAGGAACTTCAATAAGTTTTCCACAGTGGCTGCACCAGTCTGCATTCCTACCAGCAATGCACTAGGAGCCCCTTTTCTCCATCAGCTCTCGAGCATCTATGATTTGTAGATCTTTTTTCTTTGTTTTTTAATGGTGGCTATTTTGACTGTTGTGAGGTGACACCTCCTGGTAGTTTTGATTTACATTTCACTAATAACTCCTGTTGTTGAGCATCTTTCCACGTGCCTGTTGGCCATCTGTATGTTTTCTTTGTAAAAATGTAATCAGGTCCTGTCAATTTTTTCTTGGATTGTTGGCTGTTTTGCTGTGTTGTTGTTATTGGGTTATATGGGCTGTCTGTAAACTTTGGGAATTAAGACCTTGTCATTTGCCTGGTTTGCAAAAGTTTTTACCCAGTCCTAAGTTGTCTTTGCATTTTGCTCATGGTTTTGTATGCTGGCAAAAGCTTATATGTTTCACTAGATCCTATTTATTTATTTCCATTTTTATTTCTACTATGTTGGAGATTGAGCTAAGAATATGTTGCCATGATTTATTTATTTCTCTATGCAAACAGACTCTCTTCATATGGACACACAGTGTGACCCATTTCTCTTTGTGATTTGTGTTTTTGGTGTGGAATATTTGTAGTTTAAATTCTTTGTAAGATCAGAATCACAGACAATTTCAACAAACAAATGTAATTACAGAATCTTAAAAGTATTTTTTTTTAGTATATTGTCTTATTTAATCAGAGTAGAGTATTGAAAAGGGTTTTTAAAAAGGATTGAAGTGAGTGCCATTTTCTTATTTATTTCACTCAGTTACTGAGTTGGAATAAAGGTTAAACTCACTGAAACAAGGGGAGGGGTGAACATACACATGAACACACATAAACAGAAAAGGAAAAATAATAACTTGGTAGTGGGCTCTGCACCCTTTTGGAATATGCTAAAGCTACAAGGAAGCAATTAAACAGCCAATTAAAATTAATATCTTATAAACACTGGGGAAACATTAAGGTAACAAAGAGATCAATAATCACATGAGGATGCAGGATCCACATCCCGTTTGACTGCATCCAACTGCATGTGATCTTATTTTAACTACCTCTGAGATTAGAGTTTATGCCTTTAGAGGACTGATGCCACAATCAAAACCTGTAATCCCATCCTCATGGTTACCCAACACTCTTCAAGAAAGACAAAATAGAAGGCAGCAATGTGTACATGCTGAGAAAGTGTCTCAGATTTTTACAAAGAGGTAATTCCAAATTTCTCTGCTTTTCATTTCATTTAGAAAATGAAAATCTTCATTTCACTTTTGTGCCTCAACTGAGTTATTTGGCTTTCTAATAAAAAAAGAAAACAATAAAGTAGACAAGTTAGCAATGGGAAGGATGCTGTTAAGTACTTGGCGCTGCCATTGACTGATGGGTCAGGTACAGTGTGTGCTAATATTAATGCATGGCATTCATTTGGTAGGCGCTTTGTAATGAAAGATTTGTTTGGTTTAATTTAAAACATTTCAAAATCGTGTTTATGAATATGGTAAATGTCAAAATGATGATTATTTGAAATGGACTTTTTTTACTGCGTGGGGAATAGAGAAGCGATTTTCAAGTGTTGATGCACAGATTTTTTAAAATTTATTTATTTTAATTGGAGGCTAATTAATTTACATAGATTTTAGAGTTGCAGAATATACAGAGTGGTCCTGAGGAGAAAAAAATTGCATTGATTTAAACTCACATACCTGTTCAGACAATGGGAGAGACTTCAGCTAGAATAGTTTGGTACTTTGCATTTTGGACGTAGGCTAGAAGAGAAAGTATAGAGTATATATATTGCATTTGCAGAAATTGAAGTGAAATATGTGTACTTAGCCCAATAATTTGAGAATCCTTCAACCCAGGTGTATTTTAACATGAATTGTTTAGTAAATTCCAATGCTTGTTCTTGGAGAAGGAAATGGCAACCCACTCCAGTATTTTTGCTTGTGAAAATCCCATGAACAGAGGAACCTGGTGGGCTAGAGTCCATGGGGTCACAAAGAGTGGGACATGACTGAGCAACTAAGAGCAATGCTTATTCATTTTTTCACTAATTTTCTTCTTGCTTCACTTTTTCTATATATTATGCTCTGTTATCCTAGATTTTTTTTCATGTGTGACTAATTTTATTAGGTCTACTACTTCCTGTAACCTTTTGAGAGGAAAATATTTAGAGTGAATTCAAGTTTAAGCATAAAATTTCTGTAATAAATGGCCAGAAAAAATTATACTTTGCTCACTGAGTTCATCCTGTTGGGTTTGGCAGACTCATTGGAGTTACAGATTACCCTATTTTGCCTTTTTTCTGTGATTTATACACTTACAGTTGTGGGGAATGTTGGAATGATTCTCGTAATCAGAGCTGATTCCCAACTTCACACACCCATGTATTTCTTCCTAGCTAACCTGTCCTTTGTGGATGTTTGTTATTCATCCACCATCACCCCAAAGATGCTAGTAGATTTTTTATCAGAGAAGAAGTCCATCTCCTTTGCTGGCTGCTTTCTGCAGATGTACTTCTTTATAGCCTTGGCCACAACTGAATGCCTCCTTTTCGGGTTAATGGCCTATGACCGCTATGTGGCCATAAGCAACCCTCTCCTTTACGCCTTGATCATGTCCAGGAGGGTCTGCCTGAAAATGGCCGCAGGGGCTTTTACAGCGGGCCTGGTGAACTCCATGGTTCTCACAGGTTGTATAAGCAGCTTTCCTTTCTGCAGTTCCAACGTCATTCATCACTTCTTCTGTGACAGTCCCCCACTTTTTAAGCTCTCCTGTTCTGACACACGCCTGTATGAAAGTATCGTGTCTACTTTTGCTGGTGTGAGTATAGTTGGGACTCTGCTGGTGACCCTCACCTCCTACTGCTGCATTCTCTTCTCCATCTTCCGCGTGCACGCGGGGGCGGGGAGGCGCAAAGCGTTCTCCACGTGTGCGTCTCACCTGACAGCCGTCATCCTCTCCTATTCCACCTCCATCTACACTTATCTCAGACCTACTTCCAGCTACTCCCTGACTCAGGACAAAGTGGCTTCCGTGTTCTACACTGTGGTGATCCCCATGTTGAATCCTCTGATCTACAGCCTCCGGAACAGGGAAGTGAAGAAGGCTTTATGGAATGTGATTACTAGGAAAAGGATTCCTTCATTTCTGTGATTGATTAATTTTCTGAACTAAATAGAGTATATAGTTTAACTTTCAGAAACTGGATCAAGCTTATCTTCATTACAACTTAATCTGTATAATCATGTTCTGGTAATGTTCATGGACGCGAGTCCTGTTAGATATAACTCATCAAACTTACGTAAGATCATGAAACTTTTTTTCTAATTAATGTATGTTTTCCTATAGGTCTCTAAAATGTGATTTATTCATAAAGCTGTCTTGGTTATAGAAATAAAGGGTCAAGTATATGGAGATAACTTTTGCAATGTCACATGAATCTAGTTGTGTATTATATTTGTAATTGTCAGCTTTTCTACTGTATTTTTTCCAAATTTATGATTTGTAAAGGATTGTATGTATCACACGTGCAAAAATGCTTTCAATGTAGATTTCCACTTTATTGAATTAGGGCCATAATGCTTAAATCAAAAATCAGTAATATCATTTAACTGCTATAGTAAACATGTGGACTTTCATTTCCTTTATCCCCATAAACACATACTTATTCATTAAAGAATACATAGGAATTTGTTTAAATGTATTTTGTTTAGAAAACTGCTGTCTGGTTAGAAGGCACCAATTGCAACAGCTTTTCTTCTCTTCCCATCTTTTCTTCTCAAAAATTTCCTGTTCTCTCACATATTCTCTCCCAGACTGATCCACATATTATACACAAAGCCACATGCACATGCAGTCAGCTATAGCAGAGTTTAATCAATGTATAGTTCAAAGTAGGTAGATCGATCTTTGAAGGATAAAACAGACCCATATCCTTTAAAAGAGTCTCATGGATTTCCCGATTATGGAAATACTCTCCCAGTCACCAATGTAATCCATTAAAGTTAATCCATATATTATATTAAAGCTAAGCAATAATATATAGGTGGAATGGAGTGGCATAGTAGAATCCTAGGGGAAACTGAGTGGGATTCAGGGCTTGCTAAGATGCTAACCACACTGAGAGCTTTTGGAGGGATACTCCCCGTGGCTCTTCCCTTGTCCTTGCTGCTGAAATTGCTCCTGATAGAAGCTGCAGTATTCAAGTCATCTGGGATGTAACAAAGCAGATCTCATGACCTTTCACACCATCCAGTGCCCTCTGCTGTTCACATATTCCAGCTGGGCCTGAAGAATATTCATGTAGGCATGTAGTCAAAAGTTAGCGTCTCCTTCTAATTTATTTCACTTAAAAACAGAGCCTCCATGTTGGCTCAGTTGGTAAAGAATTTTCCTGCAGTGCAGGAGACCTGGGTTCAATCCCTGGGTTGGGAAGATCCCTGGAGAAGGAAATGACAACCTGTTTCAGTATTCTTGCCTGGAGAACTCCATGGACAAAGGAGTTCAGCCCGCTACAGACCAGGGGGTCCCAAAGTGTCAGACACAACTGAGTGACTGACACACTCACTTTCAAGAACAGACCTAGACTGAAGGTTACATCCAGCCAGACAAGTGTAGGGTACGCACACACACACACAAAGGGAAGGATCATAATTTGATAGAGGATTATGTAACCATTGGAATAAGCTAAAACTTCAAAGAAAGAGACAATTAAATAGGTCTTTTTTTTTAATTTGGCAAATAGCTTTGAAATAACAGAGCAATCAGAAAGTTCCATATAGTGTTTAACCACATCTACTTGCACATGATCATATTTCAATACTTCTGAGACTGCAGTTTCTGCCTTTAGAAGGTTCATGACACAATAGAAACCTATAATCCAGTCCCCATGGTTACCCAACCCTCTTTAAGGAAAGCAAAATAAAAGGATGGCAATATGCATATACTCAGAATGTGTCTCAAATTTTTACAAAGTGGTAATTCAAAATTTCACTGCTTTACATTTCACTTAAAATATGAAAATTGCATTATGTTTTTTTATGCCTCATCTGAGTTATTAGGGTTTCTAGTAAAAACAGAAATAATAGACTAGACAAGTTAGTACTGAGAAAAATGCTGTTAAGTACTTGGTGCAGTCTCTCTCATTCACCGCCATAAACAGGTATAGCATGTGCTACCACATGGCATTAATTTGATAGTGTGCTTTGAAAGGAGAACAGTTAAGTTTGTGTACCTTAATACACTACAGTATCATCATTAAGAATATGATAGATGTCAAAATATCAGTTATCGAACTGGGCTATTTTTCTTGCTGCCTGGAGAACACACAAGTGGTTTCCAAGTGACCATGCATAAATTTTGGATTTGAAGAATATAGAGAGCAGACTTGAGGAGAAAAAAAATAATAATTTCAGTTAAATTCAAATACCTGCTCAAAGAATGGAAAAAACTTCAGCAAGAATAGTTTTGTACTTTGCATTTGGATATGGACTAGAGGGGAAAAAGAGATCATAGATGTTGCATTTGAAAAAGAACCTTAGGTGATAGATGTATATTTAGATGAGTCATTTGTGGATCCCTCAGTCCAGAATTAATAGAGCCAATTACTTAATAAAGTCCAATGCTAATTCATTTACTAATTCTCCTCTGACTCTGTTTACCATGCTCTGTTGTCCTATGTTTATTTTCCATATATATTTTACTTTATCATTATTTCTATTTCTGGTAAATTGTGCAACTGGAAATATGCATGCCCAGTTTAAGTTTAAGCATACTGTATCTGTAATCAATGTGCAGAAAAAATTGCACTTCATTCACAGAGTTCATCCTGTTGGGATTAGCAGATACATTGGAGCTACAGGTTATCCCCTTTTGCCTTTTCCTGGTGATTTATGTGCTTACAGTTGTGGGAAATGTTGGGACGATCCTGTTAATCAGGACTGATTCCAAACTTCACACACCCATGCATTTCTTCCTGGCTAACCTGTCCTCTGCAGATGCTATTATTCCTCCACCATCACTCCAAAGATGCTGGTAGACTTATTATCTGGGAAGAAGACAATCTCTTTTGTTGGCTGCTTTTTGCAGATGTCCTTCTTTACAGCTTTTGCCACACCGAATGCATCCTTTTTGGGTCAATGGCCTGTGACCGCTCTGTGGCCATAAGCAACCCTCTCCTTTACTCCTTAATCATGTCCAGGACGGTCTGCATAGAAACGGCCGCAGGGGCTTTTACAGTAGGCCTGCTGAACTCCATGGTAAACACCAGTTGTAAGCAGCTTGCCATTCTGCAGTCCCAACGCCGTCCATCACTTCTTCTGTGACAGCCCCCCACTTTTTAAGCTCTCCTTTCTGACACACGCCTGCATGAAAGCATCTTTTTCACGTTTCCTGGTGTGAATATGGTCGGGACTCTGCTGGTGACCGTCACCTCCTGCTCCCACATTCTCTCTCATAAAGTTGTCATCTGCCTCAACCAACTGTGGTCCAAGTTGTTCGTCTCGGTCAATAGATATTCATGTAGGCATGAGGTTAGTAGTTATTTTCTCCTTCTGATTAATTTAACTGAAGAACAAATGTGGAATAAAAGTTAACATTACTCTTCTAAGGGGAGGGATACACACAAACTTCACACAGGGAAGGCCAGTAGTATGGTTGTAGGTTACATACCCATTTGGACTAAGCTGCTAACACTACAAAGAAAGAAGCAGTTAAATAACCATTTTTTATATAAAGCAAAAACTTTTTCTTTTTTCCATTTATTTTTATTAGTTGGAGGCTAATTACTTTACAACATTGCAGTGGTTTTTGTCATACATTGAAGTGAATTAGCCACGGATTTACATGTATTCCCCATCCTGGTCCCCCCTCCCACCTCCCTCTCCACCCGATCCCTCTGGGTCTTCCCAGTGCACCAGGCCCGAGCACTTGTCTCATGCATCCAACCTGGGCTGGTGATCTGTTTCACCCTAGATAATATACATGTTTCGATGCTGTTCTCTTGAAACATCCCACCCTCGCCTTCTCCCACAGAGTCCACAAGTCTGTTCTATACATCTGAGTCTCTTTTTCTGTTTAAAGCAAAAACTTTAAAAAGACAGAGATCAGGAACTTTTAAACATTTTCTGTGAAGTGTTCCTTAAACTATTTGTGTATCATTTTCTAATTTCATTTTAGACTTTTCCTTGATAACTAAAAAATATATCTTTTTTTGTAATGGAAAGTAAAAATCTATCTGAGATATGACATATTTTTTCCAAAACTTTACCCAAAGTACTTTAACTTTACTTTTGGTGCATGCTCATTTCCATCAAGTAGAACTACCTACATTTATGTAGTCAATTTTTTTCAGGTTTTGTGTCCTGAATTTTAATTTTGAGCCAAAGTTAAAGTTTTCTTGCTTCAAGATTATACAAATTTTAATTTAGAATGCTTTCATTGTTTCACTTACTTTCTACACTATTTAAACCTACACATCATTTAAAGCTTTCCTATTTTAAAGCTACTGTGCTATTCTAATAACATTAATTTAAAAGTCTATATTTGCAGAGGTGTTATGGTATTTTGGTATTGAATGATAAATTTGTGGGGTTTTTTTTCTGAGTTTTATTTCCTATGGCATCAGAAATTCTCTCTGCATGCATAATTCTACACTGTGCTAATTATGAGGCTTTAGAACTCCTCCCAGCTCTGTGGCTTTTTGGTCATGCGCCTGCAGTAGCGCGGTTCAGGCTGGCTTCTCACATCACCCACTCCTCGCTCACCTTCCGTGGTGCCTTCCACATGCTCCCTGATTCTCTGTGATTACCTTCGCAGTCGCTCTCTGTTATGACACTATCATCAGAGCTCCCTCTCCGGGATATTTCTGTTTGTAATCATAAACCCTTAGAAGCCACTGCTTACTAATAAGTAACATGACTGGGTACAAATCAACACTTTTGAAACAATCTAGGTGTTGGCAATAATTCTTTTTTTTCCCAGAATTGAAGCCCAGAAGACACAGGCTGTGTCTTTCCACACTATCTCAGTTGGAGAATTCAAGTTATTTTATCTGATACAAAGTTTTGGTATTATTTTCTCTTACAACTGCATTCACACTAGAAATTTTAAACGGAGAAAATAAAACCTCTATTACCCGTGGTTCTGATTTTTTTTTTTTTATTATTTTAGGAATGATTATACAGCATCTATCTCTTAGGTCTCCCCAGTGCCTGGGGAAGAATCAATAACATATAAGATTAAAATAGTATTTATCATCTGGGCAGTTACATGTGCAGGACCCTAAATATCAATTAAGAATATAATATAGGAGGATATAAGAAAAACATGTTCAGGAAACTGTGCTGCCAGCTCAGTGTTAATAGAAAGAGGCTCACAGTAGAATGATCTTGACAGCGTTTGAACTGGGTGAGTGTCAGTTTTAGATGGTCCCCAGGTATGCTGCTCAGCACCTTATTCAATTTTAAGAAATAAAAAGTGTGCTGTGTACTCTAGTCCATGGAGAGGCTTAAGAGAAACTATTCTGGATGGAGTGAGAACTACCTGGGAAAAATAAAAGAAATCATAGAGTGCCAAATGGTGCTTTAAATTGGAAATGTAACATGACTGGTCGAAGAGATCTCATGGGGTAGAGAAACTTTATTAAAGAGCCCTTTATTTTGGAAAGAATGGAATATTTTAAAGCTAAGTTGAATGTCTGATTAAATTGTGATTTCACATAAACTAATATAACTATTTACATCTTCTACAGTGAGATAAAATCAGCATCATCTTATATAAGAATGGTAAATATGAACTATTTTATATTCTTGTAAGCTTTAGTTTATAACTTTTATTTTAAAATCTAATACTAATATATAATAGCAAGAGTGATATGTTAAAGGAACTTCCATGTATTTCTAACTAGGTCAAATATAGTTTACAGTTAAAATATTTAATAATGATATTAAATTATTTGAAATGCTGAAGACTTGAATAACTGATATAATTTATATAACGTGGGGAGATAAACTTGGTTTTGAGCCAGTATATTCTAATGGGCATTTTTAAGTTAATTAGATTCCTGATGATATTTTAAGAAGAGATTTAGTATAAAACAAAGATTGATACTGAAGCCTAAGCTCCGATACTTTGGTCACCGATGTGAAGAATCGACTTATTAGAAAAGACCCTGATGCTGGGAAAGACTGAAGGCAGGAGCAGAAGGGGAGCACGGAGGATGAGATGGTTAGATGGCATCACCGACTCAATGGACACGAGTTTGAGTAACTCGGGGAGTTGGTGATGGACAGGGGGGCCTCGTGTGCTGCGGTCCATGGAGTTCCAAAGAGTCGGACATGACTGAGCGACTGAACTGAAACGAATATAAAACAATCTAGTTCATACAATTGCAAGTTCTGGGGAAATTCAAGGAGCATCTATTTTAAGAAAAAAATAAATGCTTTTAAATTAAAATAATGAAGTGATTTTGAGCTCAATACTGATTTTAAATTACTTACATGATTTAGCTTGCTAATTAATATTACATATACAGACCTAACTGAAGTAGATAGGGTAGAGATGGTGATATGACCAATGACAAACTGATATGGAATATTATCATACATCTTCTTAATAATTTGAATTCTTTGAAGTAATGGAGACTTGAGTTCAAAGATGGCAGTAGTAAAGCATTAATATTTATTTCCCTTAATAATAAACACTTAAACATTTACAAGAAAGAGGTATAGTATAGATAATTTAGAAACAGCACACTAGTTGTTTTTTCTAAATTGCTCACTGTTGAGAATAACATGCAAAAACTTCATCTCACCATGAACCTTGTTCATGGTATACGCTGAAAATTTAACCATCACAATGGTGGACTTGTACAATTAGAAATTATAATTTATTTAGCACTGAAGAGCAAGAAATGTTGGGGATCAAGGAGTAAAAGCAATTGCTAAATCTTCTTTTTCTGTAGAGAAAACACAAAAAATAGAAAAAAAAAAAAAAAAGAACAGCAATGAAAAAATAAAAACAAGAAGAAATATACCAGCGTAAAGTCTAACTAAATTGAAGGAATTTCTTCTCTTGCTCTTTGCTGATGTTCACCATCTCCAGTGGCTTCTGTTTGGGTTGCTTTTAGTTAGGAATATCATTATCTTGATGGGCAATAGAACCATAATTCTAATAACAAAAGTAGGTCTTGACCCCTACATTTCTATGTATTTTTTCTCTGGCAATTCTTTCCTTTTGGAAATAGCTATGGATCTGTTACCCTTCTCACATGCTCATGAATCCTGGATGTCAAAGAGAACACCTTTTTTTTTTTTCCTACTTTAATCATGTAAACCTTTGAGCCCTAGTTTCTTCATCTATAATATCAATATAACCTGGTGTTAACACAATTCAATAATCTGCTATTACAAGTAGATTACTAACACAAGAGGAGCACAATGGAATTTGTGTTTTCCAATTTCCTGGATATTATTTAAACTACAGTTTACTAATCACCTTTCTTATAAAATTCTTATATTTTCTAAGTATATCTCAACACAGGGGAACTTTGAGTGTCTGTAGGTCTCACTAGTTACTCACTAAACTATATTTGCTCACCTACCTACTAGCTAAAATATATTCTCTGCTTTTGATATTGTTGACAACTGTATATTAGCCATATTTTAAATAATTTATAGTTTTCAGTTTTGATTTTCATGTGCTGCATCTTATATATATCATCAGCATGATAATTTTTAAATGAAAGTGGCCTCTGGCACATCATAAGAGATTTTAGAATAGATTTACCACGCAGAGTTTCAGAAATTATATCATCAATGTAATTCCTTCAAGTTTGTCATTATTAATTAAATAACCGAGAAGTCACAAACACTATCAAACATAAGCTGCATCCCTGTAAAAGATAAATAAATGTTCCTGCTTTATAATTCCTGATGGCTATGTTGTTTATTTAAGTAGATAAAGGCAGTCAGAATGGTCTTAAATGAAGTGCACACACAAGAAGTAAGAGCTATCATTGAAGAATATGAAAGGAATGGCATGCTTTATTCTTGAAAAAGTTCTAATGGAAGAGTTGGGAAATTCCTGAAAAATGCGTTACAGAATTTGATGGTGCCCTACCACTGAGAAAGTGGGATGCAAATATTTCTGCTTCAGAATTTTGCTTCCTTAATAAAAGTAAAATGGATAGATTCTTGCTCTGCACACAGATTCAAAATGAAAGTGCATAATTTTTAAACATATCACTTTTGTTTAAAGTTAAACCTTGAATTGCAACTTACGCTTTTATATTTAGAATTTAGCATACATATTCTCCATTAAGCTTCAGTTATGTTTAGTCCAGGATATAAAATACTAGACATTAATAGAAAATAGAAATCTTATGTAATATTAATGATTCCCCTAAATCCCTTTAATTTATAGAATTACAAAGCAAAAAAAGATAAATGACTAATTGTACTATTTTCACAGATGGAACCTCAAAAATATCTAGTGAATGTGAATCTCACTTCAATGATGGAATTTGTTCTTTTGGGATTTTCTGACATTCCCAATCTCCAAATGTTTCTTTTTGTGATGTTTCTGTTTATCTATGTGATAATTCTGATGGGAAATGGCATTATTATTCTCATAACCAGGACAGACCAGACTCTCCAGACGCCCATATACTTTTTCCTCGGTAATTTTTCCTTCTTGGAAATCTGTTATGTGTCTGCCACTCTTCCTAGAATGCTCATAAACCTTTGGACTCAGAAAAGACATATTTCTAAAAAAAAAAAAAAAAAAGACATATTTCTTTGCTTGCTTGTGCAACACAGATGAGTTTTTTCCTTGTATTTGCAAACATAGAGTGCCTGCTTCTTACAGTGATGGCCTCTGACCGCTACGTGGCCATGTGTAGCCCCCTGCACTATCCTCTGGTCATGAGCCACAAGGTCTGTGTCCAGCTGGTAGCTGCCTGCGGGGTCACTGGAGTTCCAGCTGAGATACGACAGATGTGCCAGGTTTCCTCTCTGTCCTTTTGTAGATCCAACCAAATGAGTCACTACTTCTGTGACATCCGCCCAGTACTGAAGCTGGCCTGCGGGGACCCGTTTCTGAACGAGACGCAGGTCTTCACAGTTGCTGTGCTTTTCGCCGTGGCCCCTATCCTGCTGACACTTGCCTCCTGCTGTAGAATCACCTCTAGCATCCTGAAGTTGCCATTGGCAACAGGAAGCGCAAAGGTGTTCTCCACCTGCTCATCTCATGTCCTGGTGGTGACTTTATTCTTTGGATCTGTGATTGCTACATATTTATGACCTAAATCCAAAAATTCTTCCAGGACAGACACATTTCTCTCACTTTTCTATACCGTTATCGCCCCGATGTTTAACCCCCTGATATACACTCTGAGAAATAAGGATGTCTTGACAGCCTTGAGAAAACTGCTCCCTTAATGTAAAGCATTAGTTGCTTGATTTAAATTCATTTTCTGTTTTCCTATTTAATTTTGTCATTGTATAATCAGAAATAGTTTGCTTTTTCCATGTGATTAACATATTTATTATATTTACTCATTCCTGACCTTATTGTTTTATGCTGGATTTTCTAATATCAGGATTATATTATGGTGCCTTGCTGATAAGAAACTATGTATTTAGGCAATCTTATATTCAGTCCACAAATTTACTGGTGAGTTGCAATTTTATGAGAAAATATAGTATTACTTACCTACCTTTTCCCCTAAAACCATAGATATTTTTGTACTTTCCTGTTCATATAACTATCATGCACTTTTTTTTTCCTTTTCATGATGTTTTTAGATAATACAGATGGGAAAAGTTTGGAGAACAATCGTTAAATATCTATGCGCTTTTGACTTTAGACATTTTACCTTTCAGTAACTTCGATTTGATCCATTTGTAAAGATTAAAAATAAAATTCTGCATAATGACCCTTAAAATTTTGTAGTGTGGCAATAGATTTTTACTCTCTGCTTCTGTCTGAATTCTTCTTTGTAGATATGTTTTTTTTATGTAGCCAAATCATGCTACTAGCATCTTGATAATTTGCTACCTTAATTTTTACTAATGCAAAAAATATGAATGCATGTTTGCTGTTCAAAGATATAAGATGTATGGGATTCAATAATTTCTCACCCATATAGTGTTATCCATTCTCTAAGATCTCTTGCTTTTTTTTAAAAATTCTTTTGGTGAAGTATATAGTTGAAATTAAAATAAAAATACTTGGAATATTTAGTACATTATTTCCCCAAGTTTTCCTGGTTGTAAAGGATGATACTTGATAAGACAGAATCACTATATTAAACTAAAAAGAAATTACTATTAAAAAGATCTTGTATTTCTTCAGATAGAAAGTGTTGAACTATGCACAGTACACTGGATCATTTTCAGTCAAACTGATTGGGAAATGATGCAATCTGAAGAAGGTTTTTTCTTTTATATTTTCTTTTTAAATCTGTCTTTCTCTTATTATACTATGTGTTTAACTTATTTTTCATAAGACCATAATTCATCTATCAGCTAGTTCTCTTCTTTGAGCAGGTATCATGTCATCAAAAAAGACATCTAAAAAGCACACAAAAATTACAGCGATCATTTCAGAGGAGATAATGTGCAGATGACAGTAACAGAGGACAACCGTGGCTATTACAAATTACCCATTGAAAGGACTGAAGGAAGCAAAATATTAAACTTGGTTTCAAAGCCATTTTGAAGTCCTTTGTTTCAATATCCTGTTGCTGCACAGCATATTATATCCAAAATGTATGGTTTAGAATAATATCATTTGATTGTATCACATACATTGTCCAGTATTGAGGCAGGGGTCAGCTGCATGGTCGTCCTCTTCCATAGGCACTGACTGTCATCACTAAAGAGAATTCATATGGTGACTGATTTGGTTTCCATGCTTAAAAAAGCTCCACATAACTATAGGGTGTAGTTATAATGATGCATTACAGAGAAGAAAAATCCAGTTTTCACTTAAATTTCATACTCTAGGGGAATAAACTGTTACTAGATAAATAATAATTTAGCATAAAAGCATAAAATAAATCATACAGCAAAATGATCCACATTGAACTTGTAATAATAGAATGGTGTTTAACTTAAGTTTGGGAAATAAGTTAAAGAATGCTTTCAGTAAAGGATGACACTAAAGTAATTTGTTTTTTGTTTTTTGTTTTTTAATCTCAGCAATAGGGTTAACAAAACAATTAAATTAAAAAATGTTGAAAGATGTCTTTCTGTAATTTGAACCAAGGAAAGGAACTTTTCTATTACAGATTTTTTTTTTCGACATTTTACTAGAGATACTAGCCTATACAGTAGAAAAAAAAAGAAAGAGAGAGAGAGAATAAATGTATATGTGAACACTGTAAAGTGTTAGTCACTCAGTCATGTCTGATTCTTTGCAACCCAGTGGACCGTATCCTGACAGGCTCCTCTGTCCATGGAATTCTCCAGGCAAGAACACTGGAGTGGGTAGCCATTTCCTTCTCCAGGGGATCTTCCCAAGCCAGGGATCAAGCCTGGTTCTGCCACGTTGGCCCCCCTTCCATGGAATTCTCCAGGCAAGAACACTGGAGTGGGCTGCCCTGCCCTCCTGCAGGGGACCCTCCTGATCTAGGAATGGAACCCACATCTCTTATGTCTCCTGCGTTGGCAGGCAGGTTCATTACCACTAGCGCCGCCTGTGAAGCCGTTACTTTCACATCGAAAAGCAAAATAAGTAGACATCGAAAATACTATTTAAATAGCAACAAAGATATGAACATTTAAAAAGCAATGGAAATGAAAACCCTGCAGGAAGGTTATTAGTAAACTAGAAAATAATTGAGAGAAACTTAAGATAAGGAACTAAATGGAGAGCTGTTGATGGACAGGAAAGCCTGGCGTGCTGCAGTTCATTGGGTCTCAGAGTCGGACACAACTGAGTGACTGAACTGAACTGAACTGAATAGAAATTTTAAAAAATTCACATCACAAGAAAAAAAAATCCATAACTTTGGGTGGTGATGCATATTAACAAGACATTGTGATGATCATTTAAAGTATATTTATGTTGTACAGCAGAATTTAATATAATGCTATAAGTCAAGTATATCTCAACTAATCACTGATTGAATTTTAAAGGTCATGCTTTATGTTATGTAAATTATGCCTCAATACTATTGCTAATTTAAACATCAAAACTTAATGAAAATAATAATGACATTGTATTGTTAGGTTCAAATATATATACAAAACAAAATAATATGCATAAATATGTACCATAAATACTTATTCCATTATGTGTCATGCTAACTCTTCAGTCTAAAGGTATACATGTTGCAGCATGCTATAACACCCTTTTTTTTAGTGACCAAAAGTGAGGACTGCAGCAGAGTCTGGCTTTATGCTTTTCAAATACATCTGTTTTATTGACATACAATGAATATCATTCCCTAAACCTTCTCAGAACTACATTGGACAAGGAGATTAGTTTCTACAATGACATATGGGTAGAAGTGTTGTGTTTATTATGTGTAGAGTCTCTGAATAGTGTATTTGTTTCCTTATGTCTGTCTGGCATCTCGGGTTTCTGCAAGCTGAAGATCCAGTAGGAAACTGCAAAGAAAAGAAGCAGGAATAGTGGGACCCTTGGATGAAAGCAACCAGAGATTCTTCATCACTGACTGCAAACTTGCTCTGTAATATGATTGTAAGATGATTCTTTATTTTGTTACACTGATATATTGGAGCTATTGTCTCAGATTGTAGATTTGTTTTCGAGTGATGGTGATACTGAATTGAACAAAGAAATATTCAATTCACTATCCTAACAATAGAATTAGAATTAGATCAGTTTACTCACATGGGTGATGGACATTCAATTTGTTCCATCTTGTAAGTAAAACTTAGCTGAAACAAATAATGAGTGCAATTCTCCTTTGTAAATAAGCATGACACTAAATGACGTGGATATCTCATCAATCCTAAAAAAGAATACATAGGTCCAATTTACTAGGACCATGCTGTAATAAAGAGAAGCAAATTTAAAAAACAAAAAGAAATGCAATTTTTGAAACACTCATAGTGTTTTAAATTGTCAAAGAATCTCTAAACAGAAAGAAAAAAGAATGTGCTTATGAGCAGAAGTTGATATTGGTCTTGTAACTTCATTCCTGACAATTTTACCTACATACCTGCCTGGAAGTAGCTGAAGTAGAAAAAGCATTTTGTAGGAGAGTTTATTTTTTGTTTTGTTTTTTGCTTTTTCTTTTTTTCTGTTTTAAATAATTGAGTTTAAATGTTTATTCTTTTAAAAAAATATTAATTGGAGGATAATTGCTTTACAATGTTGTATTGGTTCCGCCATAAAACAAAGTAAATTAGTCATAAGTGCACACATGTCCCCTCTGTCTTTAACCTGTCTTCCACACCTCACCCCATTCCCGGCTCTAGTTTGTCAGACAGCATCAGGTTGAGCTACCTATGTTTTATGCACATAGCAACTTCCCACTAGCTCTCTGTTTTACATGCGGTGGTGTGTATGTCTCAACGTTGGTCTCTCAATTTACCCCACCCTCTACTTCCTTGCTGGGTCTACAAGTCTGTTCACTATGTCTGTGTCCATATTCCTACCTTGCCAATAGGTTTTTCAGTGTCATTTTCCTCAAGCATATATATATTTATGTGTGTGTGTGTTAACATATGATA